GTAGGACCCAGTTGCCCTGCACCTCAGAAGCCTTCACTTCTGCTTTCAGACCTGCTTTGTTGTTCTCTGGGCAGAAGTTCCCTGGGGCAGTGCATGGAGTTGAGACTTAGGGGAGTGAGGGCCTAGGCTCACTCCCAGTACCGTGGGCTACCACCATGATGATGGGGCCAGAGGACTGACTACCTCATCTAGGCAGTGGGAGCCATGGCAAGAGCAGTATGGCAAGGTGGCTGGGGACCAAGGAGGGGACTGATGGTGAAGGACACATCAAAGGACACCACTGAACAGATGATAACTCCAGTTTTCTTTCTCAGAACACCTGGCCTTGGTGTCCACTCTCCGTCCCTGCCAGTCTTTCCCAAGGCAGCCAAACAGGAAAGCTGCCCTCACATAAAGAATTGGGGCTTTGGTAAAACACACAGAGGTTCAGTGCTGGCCTCTGAGCAGACATGCCTGTATCCAGTGTTGAGTCTCCCAGGGCCTCTGTGTCCTCACTCATCAAATAAGGTATAACTAGCTCACAGTGTTCCTCACAAGTTCACAGGAGACGATGGTCTTTACAGACATGGAAGGCGCCACTGTCTCTTGGTTTCTCTTCAAAACTTCTTCCCACCAAGGGTGATGGCACACACCTTTAATCCTAGCACTTGAGGGACAGAGGTGGGCAGATCCCTGTGAGTTCAAGGCCAACCTAGTCTACATAGTGATACTCTGACTCAAAAAAAAAAAAATCTTCTTCCTATGACCTCTACTGTCTTCTCTATAGGAAAATTTGGACAATTTCTCCTAAGAAAGCTCTTTCATTCAGTCAGTCCACTCACAAGAGTTTTCTGAGCACCTACACTGTAGCTAGTCCCTTGTCAGGCACTGGGTTTAAAATCAAATGGGACAGTCCCTGCTATCTAGGGGATCACAAGCCAGCAGGAGAGACAGGTAGGATAGGCGGCCTCAGAAACATAGAGGAAGGGGGACGGGAGCCATCAGATTAGTGAGGACAGCCCACACCCTCTTTGGAGCCATGGTCCCATTCAAGGTGCCTCCCTCTCTGGGCCTTCAGAGGACAGCTCACATGAAAAGACAGGGACTGGGAGCTGTCGGTATCTAAGGCTTGTAAGTCTCCCGTGCCCTGTTCCACAAAATCCTGTTGTCAAGAAAATGTGAAGATTGTGGGATGGGGAGGTGACTTTGCTAGTGAAGTGCTTTATTGCCTTACAATCATGGGGTCCCCCAGAATCCATACTCTAAAAGGGGGTGGTAGGAGGCAGAATAGCACACGCTTAAAATCTTGTTGCTGGGGAGACTGAGACAGGTGGATCCCTAGGACTGGCTGGCAAGTGAGCCTAGCCTTTTTGGCAAGTTCCAGGCCTGTGAGGAATTTGCATCAAACAAGATAAAGAGTGCTTCAAGTTTCCCTATGACTTCCGTATGAACATGCACACACATGCACCCACCCACACACACACACACTCACACACACACACACACACACACACACACACACACACACACACACGTACACATGCATGCACCTCACCACTCACTGTAAGAGGACCTTGCCCATCACTCATAACCAGGCAGCCTGCCGTCTGCCCCTGCACCCCTCTCTTTGGTCAAGGCTGAGAGGTGCTGCAGGGGTCTTCAGGATGAACTGGAATGAATTGAAGTCTCATGCTAGCATGGCACACAGCTGCCGGAGTTAATAAGGAAGCTACAGCAGCTTCGGGAGGCAGTTCAGGACTTTGAGCTATTTATAGACACTTCAATATGCACAAGCGTTGCTTTACACTTTCCATTAACCCCTCCGAGGTTTGAACCGGCAGATTAATTTCCCGGTTCTCTGAGGAATACTGGCCTTTATTAACCCCATTAGGACATTTTCTTCAGGGGTTCAATTCTCTGTATATGGGGAAGAAAAAAAACCTCAACATCTTCATAGGCCTGTTCAATTTACCTTGTGCTTCTTAAGTTATAAAAATAATAATGATTTTTAAACTCCAAATCATAAAAATTCCACTTTTCATAGCAAATAAAACTCATGGCTGGGGCATGCAATTAAAAGAAATGTTTCACAAGCCATGCATAAGCATGATGCCTTATACACTTGCAAAAATGGTAGCATAAATGGCTTTGTATTTGCTTACACTGGAAAAAAAAGAGAAGACTTAGCACATGAGTTGAGCTCAAGTCCCATGTCTGCCACCACTGACTTTGGGCACAACTTTCCACTTCTCAGGCTGAGGTTGCCTTTGACATAAAAGAAGAGAGGAGAATTCAGTTGAAGAAAGTCTGAATGGCTTTCAAATATTTGAGCATGAAAATTCTCCAAGTGATGGTTCAGAGGGGCTGGCCATGTGGCTTGGTTGGTAGAGTGCTCACCTAGCATGCATGGAGTCCTAGGTTCAATTCCCTGAACTGCAGAAGCCAGATGTAGTGGTACATACCCATAATTCGAGCACTCAGGAGGTAAGAGTGGGAAGATCAGAAATTCAAGCTTATTCTCATCTGTGTTGCAAGTTCAAGACCAGCCTGGGCTGTATGTGACCATGTACCAAATGCTTAAAAATGAAATTGCAAATCAGTTCCATTATATAAAGTAACAAATGCTCCAGCAGGCCAGGGCTTCTGAGTTCCACCCAGTGTTCCCTCTTCTCCCCGTGTTGGGTCCTTCAGGATACTCCATGGAACTCTGAGGGATCCCCGGAACATAGCTTGAAGCTTCTTGTTGAGTAAGTTTTAAATCTTTCATAGCCCCAAGCTTTGTATTCTTGTTGCCAAGTTCTTGTTTCGATCAACCCACCCAGCACCTTAGGGAGTCCTGCTGTCCTAAGTAGTTCTAAACCTATACGAGAAGAAGCCTTCCTAACAACTCAGAACCATCACCTCCCTTAGGGTTACCACATGTGACATGGTTCTGCCACCTCAGAGCACAAAGGTGTTCGGTAAGAGACACGCAACAGAGGTGGCCCCACTGGACAGGGACAAGAATAGAATAAGGAGACTGAAGAAATGGCTCGAGGGCCCCAGGAAGACACAGAGAAGCGGCAAGCCACGTCTCCAAGCACATGGAAGGGAATTTCTCAAAGACGAGGTCCACCTACCACACATCCTAGAGAACGTGGAGACAGAGTGAACATGCTCACCATCCTTTAGGCAACAGCCGGCCCTGAGCATGAGTAGCCCCAAGAGCAGTGGACAGAGAAAGGTAGATACCATCCCAAGGTCCAGAATGTCAAGGCCACTAAGCCCCCAACCCAAGGGCATGGGGCACAGGCTGCACCTCCAAAACTCTGAAACTCAGGGAATCCCACTGAAGGTATTTGAAGAGAAGACTGAGAGGGTGAAATGTACCTTTGCAAAAAAAAAATATCTGGCTGTTTGTGGACACTGTGTGGGGAGAGGGAACAACTTGATCAGAGGCCAGTCCACGGGTGTGTTGCCCAGAGATAGCCATGGGCCCGTGGTGGCAGCGGGTACGATGAGAAGTGGATTGGCCTGAGAGCACTACAGGAAGTGACATCAGCAGACGTTGGTGACTGGTTTGGTGTGGGGTGATCACTGTGATTCCTCGGGTTCTGCTTGAGCAAATGTGTAGACAGACATTACTTGAGCTCTCCAGAGAAACAGAAATGGTACAGGACATTTTTTTTTTTTTTGAAATGGGTTTTCCCATAGTGCAGGCTGGCTTCAACCCTGCTTATAGCTGAAGATGACCTCAGACTGCTGATTCTCCTGCCTCTACTTCCCAATTGTGGAGATTACAGGTGTGCACCACCATACTCAGTTTATGGGGTGCTGGGAATCAAACCTGGGACTTCGTGCACAGCAGGCAAGCAGTCTGCCAACTGAAGAGCAATTTCTTACAAACAGTGTTTCCTGCGATTATGAAAGCCGGCAAAGGCCAAAACTACAGTGCGAACTGGCAGGCTCAAGGCCCAGAAGAGCTGATGGTGAGGCCCACTCCAGCAGCAGACAGGTAGAGAACCATTCTTACCTGAGGAGACTTGTCTTTGTGTCCTATTCAAGTCTTCAGCTGATTGGAGAAGGCTTGCTCACACTGTGGTGGGCAATCTCCTTCCCTCTGTTATAATATTAATATCATATAAATTATCACCCTTGCAGACACATGAGGAATACAGTCTGACCAAATACCTGGAGACTCCACGGCCAAATCAAGTAGACACTGACCATCACAACAGTGATGCCTGTTTCTGGAGACCAGGGGAATCGAGGGAGCGTTAGGTAAAGCACACATGCCCAGGGAAAGATAAAACTCAGTGAAGAAAGGGTGCTCTGCAGGTCCAAGGAATCCCAGGGAACTCTGAGCAGTGAGATCAATTTTGTCAATCCTTGCTGTCATCATCAGTAGCCTACAGTGTGAACAGAACCCCGCAGCCGCTACTGAAGAGGCCAAGACGAGCAGATGGCACAGCTCCTGCCCCTTGATAGGAAAAAACTATGGAACTCATGTAGTCTGGCCTCCAAGAGGGGTGATAGAGAAGCCCCCAGATAGCAATGGGAGGTTGTCAGGGAACAGTGTTGGCTCTGTGACTGCCTCATAGTCCTGCATGTGGCATACTAGGCCCTTCTAGGTCTGAGACTTCCTCCTCCCAATTCTGCTTCCCTCACTGCTATGGGACGGTCGTTCTGTATGCTGTGAATATGTGCTCCTTCCATTGGTTAATAAAGAAGCTGCTATGAACTATGGCAAAACAGAATACAGCCAGGCAGGAAATCCAAGCAGGGGTACATGGAGAAGAAGGCAGAGTCAGAGGAGATGCTAAGAGCTGCTTGGAGAAGCAAGATGTAATGCAACACAGGTAAAGCCACAAAACACGTGGTGATACATAGATTAACAGAAATTGATTAATTTAAGTTATAAGAGCTAGTTAATGATAAGCCTGAGCCATAGGCCAAACAGTTTGTAATTAATATAAGCCTCTGTGTGTTTACTTGGGACCGAGCAGCTGTGGGACACAGGAAAACTTCTGGCTACACTTCACTCTGCATCTCACAAGCCACTAAGCAATCTCTGGTTTCCACATTCCTGAAGTGAGGGTAAAAGCACACAGACTCAAATGTCATGATAATTACCCAGGATGGTGCTTAGCATGGTGCTCAGTGCAGAGTAAGCATGCAGTAACTGTTGACTACTGTACTACTGTACTGCTGCAGTCGTCCTTGACATCACTGCCGACTTCAGAATCTAACACATGACCCTGGCTTTGGTGGCTACTTATTAGCCGAAAACCTTGGCTAGGTCATTCAACATCCCTGCGACATGTAACAGCACTGCTTCTTGTCTCTCAGGTCAGTTGTGAGGATTCAAGGAGTCAAGCAGAGAAAGCTGAACACTCAAGGACACTTTAGCTGAGTGCAGCATGACAGGATGGCCTCTGTCACAACACACAGTTCTATTTAGCACCCCTGTGGCTATTTCATCTGAGACACTCTTCTCCATCTACCAAGTATCCCTTCACATTGGGAACCTGTTCACAGCCTTTTTACCAGAAACTTCTGACACCCACACCTGCTCAAACCACCTTCTTGCCTGAGGCCTCCCCTGTCCCTGACTTCCTAGAGAACATGAGAGGATGTCCAGAAGAAGCAGAGGTCCACAGACCCAGAGCGTGCTCTGCTGTGTGGCCTGCAGATGTCCATTCCACTCCTTAATGAGCTGGCAAGAAGAGAGTTCTCATCCCAGCTTGCTCCTCCTGCCTGTAACAACAGCAAAATAGTAAACAGTACCTCTCTGCCCCATAGCACAAGGAAGGAAGGTCATGTTGGGCCTGTGTGTTAGAAAATACTCCAGCAGTACCATCCTACAGTGGACCTAGGGTAGACCTAGGTTGGACCTCTTGTACATGCCATTCACTTGAGGTAACAAGCAGAGTCCAAGCAGGCACCATCCCCCCCACGTTGACACTTCAGAGCTTGGCACAAGCAATATCTTCCTGCCTCTTACCCAAATAGCGATAATCTCTTTTAGGCCATTAATTCAAAGTGCTGGCATCACACAGATCCTAGGAGGTACTCACCATCTCAGATACACCTACTATTAACAGAGAAAATGAGCAAGGAAGAGGCTGAAAAAAAAACTTATACAAGGGACTGGGGAAATAACCAGTAAAGTGCTTGCCATGAAATCTTGAGAACCTGAGTTCTCATCCTCGTGACTCCTATAAAGTCTGTACTTTTACATCCCTGCAAAACTGAGGACTAGGGAGGCAGAGGTAGGTGGATCCCTGGAGTTTTATGGTCAGTCAGTCTAAGTAATTGGCAAACTCTCGATTCAGTGAGAAACCCTGTCTCAAAACATATGGTGGAGAGCAATCACGGAAAATACCTGAGGTCAATGTCTGGCCTCCACTGGCTGGTGCATACATGTGAATGTACATCCACAGGCACATGTGTACATATACATACACACACACACACACGTAGATGTAACCAACCTTCTTATTAAATAAGAAACACAGAACCAATGCAAAGAAGAAAGCCAAGAGGTCAGAGCTAAGAGCTAAAACCTTACCCTTCCTCCTGCGGTGGTCCTACCTCTCCGAACCAGAGCTACCCCTGTGTTAAAGTCTTTATATAGAGTTCCTGTCCTGCCTTCTCATTGGTTGTAAACCCAACCACATGACTGCCTCCTCACGGCCTGTCTGTATAGGCCTCCAGGTTTTCCATGATTGGTATTAAGATTAAAGGCATGTGTATCCAATAATGGCTGTATCCCTGAACACACAGAGACTTGCCCAGCTCTGCCTACCAAGTGTTGAGATTACAAGAGTACACCACCACTGCCCTGTTTTCCTATGGCTTGCTAATAGCTCTGACCCCCAGGCAACTTTATTTATTAACCTACAAATAACATTTTAATACAAATAAAATATCACCACACACACACACACACACACACACACACACACATACACCAAAAAACTTACACAAGGTGCTGGAGACGTAGCTCAGCTGACAATCTTTAAATAGCATGTCCAAAGCCCTGTTCCCATGTTATGATCAGACCACTTTCCTGTCCAAGAATGACTTCTGTCTTAGTTAGGGTTTCTATTGCTGTGAAAACAATTATCATTGAAACTCTCATAAAGGAAAACATTTAATTGGGCCTGGCTTACAGTTTCAGAGGTTTAGTCCATATCATCATGGTGGGACATGGCATCATGCAGGCAGACATGGTGCTGGAGAAGGAGCTGAGAGTTCTACATCTGAATCCACAGGCAGCAGAAGATTGTGACACATTGGGCATGGCTTGAGCATATGAGACCTCAAAGCTCACCCGCACTGTGACACCCTTCCTCCAGCAAGGCCACACCTACTCCAACAAGGTCACATCTCCTAACAGTGCCATTCCCTATGGGACAAGCATTCAAGCACATGAGTCTATGGGGACCAGACCTATTCAAACCACCACAGCTTATTTTGGCTTGATGTCAAGATCTGCTGCCTCTAGCCAGATGCAGGACCCATGTGAGACTTCGTATGGCATGTTCTGACTAGGGATACAGCCTAGTGGGAACGCATTTACCTTGCTATCAGAGGCCTTGGGTTCAGTCCCCAACACTGGGGGTGGAGAGGGGTAGGAATAGAATTTTTGATGGGTCCTTAATATGATAGACATGTGTCTCAATGTGGGGGTTGTTGTCATTTTTTAAGACATGGTCTCTCTTCATAGCCCTAGCTGACCTGGATCTCACTATGTAGAGCAGACTAACCTCCAACTCACAGAGATCTGCTTGACTCTGTGTCCTGAGTACTGGGATTAAAGATGTATACTGCCTGAGAATAGCCATAGCAGCAGCTTGGGTTTGGCGTGAGGGAACATTTACAGGCACTGAGCGGGAAGAGTGGGAGAAAAGGTCCTTGATGTCACTGTGGCTTCTGAGTCACAGCCTGTGAAGTGTGATTGGAATTGCATAATTCATAGTAAGGATCCCTTCAGCTCCATGACTGCTGAAGTCCAGGGCTATCTGCTCTCCAGGGAGGTCGGCATTCTACCACACACACAGCTCTTCTTTATGGCCTGGGTGTAAACAACGAGGTGAAAGAAGGTGGAATACACAAGAAGGGGTTTAGTTCGGTATCCAATATTCTATTTCAATAAACATTTGTCAATCATCTGCTCCAAGAAGAAGACAGAGGCTCTTCAGTCAAACTCGCCAGTTGTTCACCAGCTGGCCCTGCTACCTGTCTCCTTGGCCCTGGACCCCCAGTGTCCCATACACCCTCATTTCTGCAATCCTGACCTACTCTGTGTCCACTGCCTCCTGGGATACTCAACACCACCTAGTTGATCTATAAAACTCCTATTTATCTCCCAGTGCCCAGGTCCCAGGTATTTTGATGATGGAGAAGGGGAAAACATCTCCAAGATGTTTCATTTGGTAGTTAACCTAGCCGCTCCCTGCTAGACTGTGACATCCCCAAGATCCACAACCATGTCCCAATATCTGCATCAACTAAGAAGTCCAATTATATAAAAAGAAAACCACTCCATAACCTGAACGGGGGAGGCAGGGCGCCCGAGTTTCCTCTCCCTTGACTAATGTGAGTCACTGTTGTTCCTTTCCAAGCAGTAGCTGCAGATAGCTCCATCCTCCCACACCAAGACCTATAGGTTAAACCAAGGAGTGTGGATAATACAAGGTACCTACCCAACAAATTGCTCCACTTTCTAAAATACTAACCCAGGATGGAGCACAAATCCATTGTAGTCAACACCATGCCCCCCCCAATCACATGCCCAAATAATTTCATAAACTCAGGTCCCTCTTTCCTCAAACACTCTGTGGTTTTCCTTTGGTGAAACAAGCTAGGAACTCAGCTCTGACTCAAGACCCAGGTCTGGTGGCCTTAGGTGGGCCATTGGCATCTGTTCCTGTCCCCACCTCAGCAGAGTAGGACTCCAACATCGTCTGTTCCTTCTCCAGACCACACTCCACTGCTGCACACCCTGCAGTGTGGTTGGAAGTTTCTCCAGTCCTGCCCAGCCTCGCGGTCCCACAGCCGCTTATAAAATAATCACTCAGAACCGTAATATTATTTACAAACTGTATGGTCTATGGTAGGCCTCTTCCTAGCTAGCTCTTATATCTTAAATTAACCCATTTCTATTAATCTATGTATTGCCATGTGGCTGTGGCATTATCGGTCTGCTGGCATCTTGCTGTTCCTTAGGCAGCAGCTGGCATCTCTCCCTCCTCTCCTTTCTTTTCTCCATATATCTACTTAGATTTCCCACCCACCTGTAAGCTGCCTTGCCATAGGCCAATGCAGCTTTATTCATCAACCAAGCAGAGCAACACATATTCACAGTGTACAGAAAGACATCCCACAGCACTGCAGTGCCCTTCACTTCCAGGGATACACAACTCCGCCCCAAGATGCCCTTCCCTGGTGCCAGGGCTACTTCTTCCTAACAGCTGATGTTCCACAACATAACCCAGGTGGATACAGAGCAGGCTGCACCAGGAGTCATCTGCAGCTAGAGTTTTCCTGCCTGGCCCACAGTCAGGGCAAATCTCTCTCACCCGCCAGTCCCACAGCCACTCAGACCCAACCAAGTAAACACAGAGACTTATATTGGTTACAAACTGTATGGCCGTGGCAGGCTTCTTGCTAACTGTTCTTACAGCTTAAATTAATCCATTTCTATAAATCTATACCTTGCCACATGGCTCGTGGCTTACCGGCATCTTCACATGCGGCTTGTCATGGTGGCGGCTGGCAGTGTCTCTCTGACTCAGCCTTCCTTCCCAGCTCTATTCTCCTCCTTGTCCCGCCTATACTTCCTGCCTGGCCACGGGTCAATCAGTGATTTATTTATTGACCAATCAGCAACACATTTGACATACAGGCCATCCCACAGCACTTCCCCTTTTCTTTTCTTAAAAAGGAAGGTTTTAACCTTTACACATCTCCAAAGTCAGCTTGGTATATTTGGGAATTTGGACGTAGTTTTTCTTACTACTTCCTGCTGGAGGGGGGTGCTGTATCTTATGGGGACACAAAGAATATTTTAGGATTATGGAATAATCCGTGAGGGTGTATCATCTGAGCCAGTCTCCTTGAAACGGTTTTGGATGTTGGATCATCTGGGCCATGGTGTCATCGGAGACCTTTCAGGGGGTCTTGGCTGGTCAAACCTGATGTATCTTAATCTGGAACAAATCCATAGCCTCTGGCTTTCTGTGGAAACAAAAACAGAGCCTCCTTTCCAAAGCAACATATCCTTACATCCAAATTTTGAAGTCAAGGTACCTTTAAAATATACATTTTGGCATAACTCAACAGCTTTTGCAATCAAATGTTTTTCTTCAGTTACGAATATCAAAGAGAACATAATCCAGATTCTCTGTGTGGTAGCCATCTTTACGTGGCTTATTTTTTTATATTAGCTTGAGCCTATTGTTTTAAACTTCAGCCTTCTAAGCCTGAAAGGGCACTGGCGCTGCTGGCTCTGCCCACTTCAGCTTCCCAACATGGCGGTGATACGTTTTCCGCCAGCTCTGGGAGCCATCAACTCTCAGAAATAGTGGGTCTATGCTTCTATCAAAGCAGCGTGTAGCCCAGAAACCTCTTTTTTCTTTTGTTTTGTACTAGCAAAGGCTAAATCCACCACACAGCTTAATGTGCCACTTGCAGAGGCCTCATTCCCGCCATACTGCAGGTCGAGCATGCACGCATGCTAGGAACCCGCCAGTAGCTCAAACCGGCAGCTGCCGCTCATTTGAGAGAGACAATTAGGAAGCTGTTTTTAGCTCCATTTTAGAATCTTTTTTCTCAGTTTTTAGGTGGAAACTCTTGCCCCACGTTGGGCACCATTTGTAGCTAGAGTTTTCCTGCCTGGCCCACAGTCAGGGCAAATCTCTCTCACCCGCCAGTCCCACAGCCACTCAGACCCAACCAAGTAAACACAGAGACTTATATTGGTTACAAACTGTATGGCCTTGGAAGGCTTCTTGCTAACTGTTCTTACAGCTTAAATTAATCCATTCCCAAAAATCTATACCTTGCCACATGGCTCATGGCTTACCGGCATCTTCACATGCGGCTTGTCATGGTGGCGGCTGGCAGTGTCTCTCTGACTCAGCCTTCCTTCCCAGCTCTATTCTCCTCCTTGTCCTGCCTATACTTCCTGCCTGGCCACGGGCCAATCAGTGATTTATTTATTGACCAATCAGCAACACATTTGACATACAGACCATCCCACAGCAGTCATCTGAGACATCACAAAGCAAAGCCTCCCTGCACATCTCTGAGGATCTCAACCAAGCACCACGTGGTTCGTAATTTTCCCTCCTCCCCAGCCTGCATCCCACACAGAGCCCCAGGACAGGAAAGGAAGTCACTCTTGGTCAGCACTTCATGTGGCTTCCTCATTTTTGCCTTCCGTGCTGTTTTTAAATTTGCAAAGTCGTCATGACATTGCTCCACTTCTGAGACCACTTCTGAGGCTCCAGCATCTCCCCTGGTGGCGCTTGCCTGTTTATTGCAAGCAGAGGACCGCAACCTCAGGCCCTTAATGGGAACACAAGTTAATGAGTGGGCACCAGCAAGAGGAGCATCCACTAGAGGGAAGAAAGGAAGAGTCCTGAGGCTTAAACGTCCGTAAAACATCTGCAAACAGGACTGGGGAGGGCTGCTGGGAGCGTCTGGTTCTGTTTAACACGCAGTTAGCCTTTGAGAACGCTGCTTGCTAGAGACAATGGCCCATGTATGGACCTTTCATCCATTTCTCAGCCTCAAAGGCTGACTGCCTTTTGTCACAGCTCATGCTCCAACAATGCACCATCTCCAAGGACAGGAACTGCGGTGGGCCCCTCTCTTCAAAGGCATTCTGGAAGAAACTGCGGCTTTTCTCACCAAGGAAAATGTGATCCTTTTTTTCTCAGCTCTACCAACTGTGAAGCAAAAAAAAAAAAAAAAGAGTGATCAAAAATAACAAAAGTGTTTAGGGTTTTGTTTTTTTTTCCCCTCTTTCATTCTTTCTCTCCCTTTCCTTTCTGTCTCCAAAATGGTTCCTGAGCTGGCAAGGGCAGTACAAACAGTACTGACTCTTCAAAGATTCATAGAGAAACTGCATGCCCCTCTCCGTGTCCCCAGTGTTCTGTGGCTCAGCCCCCACCCCAACACCACCCTTGTCAGCAAGGAAACCAGGTCACCCATCGGATACAGGACAAACCACCCAACCTGGCTGTCTGAAAAGGGGAAGAAACAGCTGTCTCTGGCATCCCCTCTTCCATGAGAGAAGGAGGTGGAAACGTAACGAAACGACCTTTGTCTCCAACAAAAATTAATTCCCCCAGGAAGGGTTGTAAACCAGAAGCCACTTCGAAACGGTTTAAGAAACATGAGACCTGAAGATGAACCTCAATTTTGTCACCTGTAAAGTGAGGTTCTTGTACCTGACCCCACATCAAAGGCGTGCTGTAAGAATACGTGGAAAATGTCTTTAAAATGTCTGTGGTTTCTCAGAGTGGGGAGAAAGAGTATGAGACGAGGTTATAAAAGAAAGAAAGCATAAGGGCTGAAGAGACAGGTCAGCAGTTAAGGGTGCTTGGTCTTGCAGAGGACCCGGGTTTGAGTCCCAACACCCACATGGCTGTTCATAGTTCCAGTTCCAGGAGGTCTAGCGCCTTCCCTGGGCACCAGGAACATACACGGTGCACATACTCAGGTGCAGGCAAAATGTCCACACACATAAAACAAATAGTTTGATTTTTTTTTTTTGAGACAGGATTTCTCTGTGTGACGACTGCCTTGGCTATCCTGGAACTTGGCTCTATAGACTGGCCAAGTTCAGGCTGGCCTTGAACTCACAGAGATCCACCTGCCTCTGCCTCCCAAGTGCTGGGATTAAAGGCCTGTGCCAACACCACCAGCAGCTAAAATTTTTAATGAAGTGTGCCAGGGTTGCAGAAATAACTCAGTGGCTGAAGTTTTCTACACGGTCATGAGTACTGGAGTTTGGATCCCCCAAAATCCACATCAATGTGGATTGGGTGTGGTGGGCTGCCTATAATTCCACCTTCACAAGGGGGAGACAGGGGATTCCCAGAGCGAGCTGGCTAGTGAGATTACCCATATCAGTGAGCTCTGGGTTTGATTGAAAAACACTGCTTCAATGAGTAAGGTGGAAGAGAGATGAAGGATGGGTCCTCAGCTTTGTGCCTTCACATGCACACACACACACACACACACACACACACACACACACACACACACACACACACACACACAGGGTGAGGTGCACACACCCACCTGCAAACATGAATACACATACACACGAAAACAGAAAATGGAAGTTGATTGATTGATTGATCAATTACTTTAGTTTAGGCATGTCCATAAGTGAATGAGACAAGTTTCTAGGCAATGAGCAGAAACTGGCACACCAGGGCCTCTAAGAAGACATCTGAGATCCTGGAGAGCCGGGTCACTTCAGCTCCTGAAGGTGACCAGTGGTGCTGGTCACAGTAAGGATGGCCTCCCCAGAACAGAGAGAAGGGCCATCTTGCCTCACCACACCGCCAGTGCCCCATCTCACACGGCCTCCCCACAGCTCCAGCAACAGCTATCCCATCCTTCTCCAGATCCCAGTCCCTCCTCCACTGATAACCCACTGGCATCCCATTGACCACATCAAGCCACCTGACCATTAATCCACCACCATCACAGGCAACAGCCACCCACCACCTCCTTCACCTCTCATGTTTTGACTTAAAATGTTCCCACCCCCAAAAGGCTCATGTGTTAAGTGCTTGATCCTTAGTTGACTGTGCTGTTTGGGGAGGTTCTGGGAAACCAAGGCACTAAAGGAACAGCCTTCTCCACACACTCCTACCACCATGAAATGTTGCCTCACCAGGCGCCCAGCATCACAGAGCCAAACATCCATGAACTGAACCTTCTGAGATAGTGAGTGAAGTGATTCCAACCCTGGAGTTATTCTAGTACCCCACCTGTACCAACGTTTCATCCTTCTGTGCACTTCATCCCACCACCTCACCTTCATCCACCATCCTCACCTTCATCCACCATCCTCACCTTCATCCACCATCCTCACCTTCATCCACCATCCTCACCTTCATCCACCATCCTCACCTTCATCCACCATCCTCACCTTCATCCACCATCCTCACCTTCATCCACCATCCTCACCTTCATCCACCATCCTCACCTTCATCCCACCATCCTCACCTTCATCCACCATCCTCACCTTCATCCACCATCCTCACCTTCATCCACCATCCTCACCTTCATCCACCATCCTCACCTTCATCCACCATCCTCACCTTCATCCACCATCCTCACCTTCATCCACCATCCTCACCTTCATCCACCATCCTCACCTTCATCCACCATCCTCACCTTCATCCACCATCCTCACCTTCATCCACCATCCTCACCTTCATCCCACCATCCTCACCTTCATCCCACCACCTCACCTTCATCCTCACCACAACCTTACCGTTATAATCCCACCCAGACCACTACCTACCTCTGCTCCCCACCCACCCTGTTCTCACTGCATTCCCCACCGTGTTGGAGAAACAGCCTCCAAGGATGTGAGATCACTGGTCTCGGAGCTGTACACCCTTTAACTTTATCATCAGAGAACCTTCAACAAGTTGGCTGGAACAACAGCAGCAATAACCGCAGCATGGTGGTGAGTGCTGAAGTCCACCAGGGCCTATTCTAAGTGCTTTGCACTGACTCAGAACCACTGTATTCAGAAAGCTGCTGTTATTTTACAGGTTGGACGTTAAAACACAAAGACTCTAAGTAACCGGCTTAAAGTTTGCAGCCAGGAGCTGTCCAGCTGGGACTTAACCTGGACCAGGCTGCTTAGGGCCTGTGCCCTTATATAATTTGTCATACTGTCATCTCACAAATCAGTCTTGGACACCTTAGGGAAGGACATCTATTAGGTTCACTGGGTTTAGGATGCCAGTGCCATCAAGTAAAGCAGGGTACAGTGGCAGTTCACACTCTTAACTACCACCATTCACCTTCACCACCTGCTCAAAGGACAAAGCTGTTTCTCATAGCCAGGCCCCATGCTGACTGTGTACACTGTGTACACAATCTATTTTCTTCACCCTCACTGTAATCTGGTGCGCTTAGTGATAGAGTTAGGTACAAAATTATTCCTGTTTTAATATATATTAGAAAACTGCGGTTCAGAGAAGAGAGGAAGTCGCCGCCTAGTAAATATGTCTCAAAGGATTCACATGCCCCCAGCACGTACCAAGCATCCTGAGAGGTCCTCTCCCGAGGCTCCAGCATCTAGGATGGAGTCTGGAAAGGCCAGCTTTCAGTATGTGAGTGAGTGTGTGAGTGAGTGAGTGAGTGCGTGCGTGAGTGAGAGAATGAAACATGGCTCATAAGTGATGCGGGGTGAGGGGACAACCAAAAGCCCTTAAGGGTCAGAGAACCAGGCAGTTGCAGGAAGGTTCCTTTCAGTGTCCTCTGCATACTCCTCTCACAGACACCAGGCTGCTTCCTCCAGTCTGACCTACTTCAGGCCATGCAGGGTTTGCAGAGCTATTCCCTTGAACAAATGACGCTGACTTGAAGAAGTGGCTGCTGCCCTCTGCAATCAGATGCTTTGAGACTTCTCTTCTTCACCCTGCAATAAAGACAGTGACCTAAGTGCTGATGTAGCCCGAGGACAAGGGAAAGTGTGAAACTGTTCCCATTAAAATCAGCCCTGGGGGCAAAGAGTAAAGCCAAGCAGAGGCCCGACTGGGTCTCAGGTTTTCAGTACAGGATCACAACCTCTGTCCACTTGGAATGTTCTCCTACCCTACCTTCAAACCAGCTCTGCCCTCCCCAACACACACACACACACACACACACACACACACACACACACACACACACACACACACACTCCTCACACTGTATTAACAGGATCCCTACAACTGTGTGCCTGTCTTGGTCAGTCCTATTCATAGCAGAATAGCAAAGTAAATATCTTCTCCACTGTGCAAGGTTTGGGATGGGGGGGTGGAGAGGGGACGTGGGGAGGAGAGAGTTGGGGAAAGGGGCACTGTGAACAATAGCTCTCATGTTCTCACCTAGCCCTGGGGCGCTCACTCTTTCATCTCTCCTTCCTGGATTCACAAGACAAGGATTCTTCATCTCCTGGTGGGGAGCCACCACAGAGCCTCATCACAGGGCTCCAATCACACTGCTAACTCTAAGGAAAACTTGAACCAATTTTAGAACAAGGGCTAAGAGGCCAGAAGAATGAAATCCCTGCCGCAAAGTCTTAAAACATAAATTGTGAAATGTCTCCATCTTGTGGTTACCTGTGAAATTGCCACTCTTATTCCACACCCTGTAGACTGTTGGATAGTGGACACCATCTCCCCCTTTGCCGTGGAGCCTCGACAATCCATCAGAATGAGTGGCATTGGCAGAAGCAGCAGGCATGAAAGGCAGGTTTGCACCTCAGAAATACTTCCGCTGTGACGGTGAGATAGCTCAGGGACTGTAGGTGCTTCCTAGGCAAGCCTGACGACCTGAGTTCAATCCCTGGGATCTGTGTAAAGGTGGAAGGAGAGAAATAATTCCACATGGTTTACTCTGACCTCCAGATGTGAGCCACTGCACATGCTCACACACGTCATGAGTACTTACTCACACACTAACAGTAGTAGCCTTAGTAAATACTTCCGCCAGCGGAGATGGCCTGATGCAGGGGAGTGACTACGAACTGAAGCCATCAACTGAGAAACACAGGAAATGCCTACTTCATTTCTTGAAATGTTTGGTTCTGCCTTTGAGGCACAGTGGACTTTGAGGCACTGTCTCCTGGTTGCTGGGTCTTCATACAGTCAACCACCATGGTGGAGGTGCCGTCCTGGACACCATAAGCCTGTCCCCTCAGCTGTGAGCCTTTCACCTCTCAAGAAGCTTGACAGCTCTAGGAATATCCCAGTATCACTATGCCAAAGAGCCACCTCCTCTGAGATCTTATCTGACTCTGAGTCACAGAGACCAGCTCCTGCTTGCACCTATGCCTGCCTACCCCTCACACAGGGAGAGGTTTCCAAAGTTTAGTGGTCATGCTTGCCTCATACATTTTAATGCAGTATTCACCTTCAAGCTTTCTTGTTCAACCTCACTCTCACTCAAAATGCAAATTCCTAGAACCTAGAATATAAGTAGTCTGCCATCACGTAATTTAGTTTGGTTAGTTTTAAGATAGTTTCCCTTTCTCCCTCTCTCCCTCCTCTCTTCCTCCCTCTCCCCCCTCTCTTTCTCTCTCCAAGACAGGGTCTCATTATATAGCCCTGGCTGTCCTGGAATTCACTGTGTAGACCAGGCTGACTTCTAACTCACAGATATCCACCTGCCTCTGCCTCCCAAGTGCTGGAATTAAATGTGTATACAAGATACAAAAGAAAAAAAAAGTTCGAGGTCAGCCTGGTCTAGAGAGGTGGGCTATCAATAATAGTCCAGGCTGATCTCAAACTTACTATCTAGTAATGCCGGATACCAGAATTCCCACAACAATCTAGCCAAAGAATGACCTTGAACTTCTCATCCTCCTGCCTCCACCTCCTGAATTTTGTGATTATAGGTACCAGCTTTATATGCTGCTGGGCATCTAACCCAGGGCTTTGTGAATACTAGGCCAGAATTCTACCAACTAACTACATCCCTGCCCTCAACCTAGAATTGTGAATGATTAAGGAGGGGGAAACATGGATGGGGGATGGATGGATGGATGGATGGATGGATGGATGGATGGATGGATGGGAGCAAAAGCCTTCCTATAAATAAACTCCAAGGAAAGAGAAATTTAGAAACTTTAGCATTTAATCATATTGAAAGCCCAGCTTCACCATATCCCAACCCCCAAACACTGTCATCGCTGGGCCACGTTTCATCCATTCCCACCAAGTGAAGCAAAGTCAATGGAGACTTCGCAAGTGGCTGTTGAGCTAAATGCTTTAAGAACCTGGAATAGCATGCTCCAAGCATGCTGAAATCACACAAAGCTCAGGCTACCTGTTTACTGTAGGAGCAGCATCACAGAAGGTTGGAAGCAACAGAAGCCCAGCTCAGCTCCTCAGAAGCCATGCAATCTTGGACAAGCTGCTCAACTCAGCTAAGCTGTGCCCTCTGTTTAGAGTGTGGTTGTGAAGTGGTGCCACCTTCATGGGGTTCCATGAAACAAAGACTCACCACAGTCACTATTATGTAAAGCACAGTGGCTACCATGGAATTAACTAAACAAAGCAGCCACTGGCTATGGAGGAAATGTGAGACCAATAGACTGTCTCAGATCACATGATACCATAGCCATATCTGAAAATGTATTGGAGAGATGTCTCAGTGGTTAAGAGCACTGGCTTCTCTTCCAGGTTCAAATCCCAGCAGGCACAGAGGGGCTCACAGCCACCTGTAACTCCAGTTCCAGGAGATCTGTCTGATACGGTCTTCTGGTCTCCTCAGGTACTGCATGCACATGGTTCACAGACATGCATACAGGCAAAACACCCATGCATATAAAACAAAAATAAAATTTAAAAAATAATAAACAAAAAAGATGGAGAACAAAGAGGAAAACACCCAGCGTTGACCTCTGGCCTGCACAGAAGCACGCAGACAAGTGGACTTGACCTCACTATGCTGCTAGTTTGATGTCAGCTTGACACAGCTATAGTCATCTGAGAGGAGAGACTCCCAATTAAGAAAATGCCTCCATAAAATCGTGTTGTAGGAGGCCGGGCGGTGGAGGTGCACGCCTTTAATCCCAGCACTTGAGAGACAGAGGCAGGTGAGGCCAACCTTGTCTACAGAGTTAGTTCTAAGACAGCCAAGGCTACACAGAGAAACCCTATCTCAAAAACAAAAACAAAAAATCATGTTATAGGCAACCCTGTAAAGGCATTTTTTAAAATTAGTGATAGATGGGGAAGTGCCCAGCCCATTGTGGGTGGTGCCATCCCTGGGCTGGTGGTCCTGGGTTCTATAAGAAAGCAGGCTGAGCAAGCCAGTAAGCAGTGCCCTTCCATGACTTCTGCATCAGCTCCTGCTTCCAGGTTCCTGCCCTGCTTGAGTTCCTGCCCTGATTTCCTTTGATGATGAACAGTGATGTGGAAGTGTAAACCAAATAAACCCTTTCCTCCCCAAGTTGCTTTGGTCACAGTGTTTCATCACAGCAATAGTAACCCTGACTAAGACACACATTCACCTACATATGCCACATAAAACACACACCAGGCCAGGCGGTGGTGGCGCACACCTTTAATCCCAGCACTCGGGAGGCAGAGGCAGGCGGATCTCTGTGAGTTCAAGGCCAGCCTGGTCTCCAAAGCGAGTTCCAGGTAAGGCACAAAGCTACACAGAGAAACCCTGTCTCGAAGAAAAAAAGATGTATCTAGACTTTTAGACTCCACTCTGAAATGTGAAGACCTTAAAAGTTGTCATTCATTTTGTTAAGATTTATTTTTATGTGTATGAGCATTTTGCCCATGTGTATGTAAGTGCATCACATGGGTGTAGTGCCCACATAAAAGGCCAGAAGAGGGCATCAGATACCCTAGAACTAGAGTTACAGACAGTTGTGAGCAGTCGCCATGTTGATGCTGAGAACTGAACCCAGGTCCTCTGCAAGAGCAGTGAGTGCTCTCAACCACTGAGCCATCTCTCCAGCCCATCACTCCATTCTTACAAGGAACAAGAGAAGCAAACTGAAAACCAACAGCTCTTTGTAGATCCATCAGAGAACTGAGCTCACTGGACAGCATCCCCCCAAAGGTCACAGACAGGTGAACACAGATATTGCTTACTGTGAGTGGACGCCACAGGAGCTAGGATCGACAAAGAAGACAAGTAACGGGTGTGGGCTGACCTGAGAGGTCAAGCTTGCTGCTCAGTCCTAGCCCCCTACACATACACACACACACACACACACACACACACACACTTTAATGACATCTACTTCCAGGATCCATTTGAGAAAAGTTTCTTCATGTGCCCAGCGGGAGGGGGTGGCCGGGGGACAGAGGCTGCCTCAGCATTCTGCTCTATCAGAGCTGACCTTACAAGGAACACATCCTATTCTAGGCCCTTCTAGCCTAGCACCTGAACTAAAAGGGAAAACAGAATAGGGAGCACTTGTTGAAGGCCATAGCTCAGGGCCACATGCTTCTTAAGACCTAGGACCTTCTCAGGACACTCTACCCACACAGTCACCTCCTATCACCAACAGCGCTCCTATATGACCATAAAGTGCTACAGCTGAAGTAATTCCCAGGTCTAATTTAAGGAACTCCTAGGGAAAGCAAAGGTGCTTTTTGAAAAATGAAGTGGCTGGAAAAATGGCTCAGTGGTTAAGAGCACATAGTGTTCTTACAGAGGACCCGGGTTCAATTCCCAGCACCCACATCAGGCAGCTCACAACTGCCTGGAACTCCAGCTTCAGGGGGCTGACAGCACTCTGAACTCCTTGGCCACAGACACATGTACATAAACATAAATAATAATTTCTTAAATGAAGTATCAAGACTTAACAGCCACAATAAGCTAAAAACACAATGGGCAAGCCAGAGGAGCACTAGCCCTGCTCCTACAGTTCTCTATGCCAGTCCCTTTAGCCAGCACATCATGTCTCTCTTCCAACAGCACATGCTAAAAGGCAAAGCATCTGAAGAGACAAAAGCAGCGATAGAACCATGTGGTGGCATTGTATTCCCCAAAATATTGTGTACCCTAATAAACTTATCTGGGGTCAGAGAACAGACGGCCACTAGATACAGATGCTAGAAAATGGTGGCACTCATGCCTTTAATCCTAGCATTCCTGAGACAGAAATCCCTCTGGATCTCTGTGAGTTCAAGGCCACATTGGAAACAGCCAAGCATGGTGACTCACGCCGTTAATCCCAGAAAGCGAGCCTTTAATCCCAGGGAGTGGTGGTAGAAGGCAGAAAGATATATAAGGCATGAGGACCAGAAACTAGAAGCATTTGGCTGGTTAAGCTTTCAGGCTTTTGAGAAACAGTTCGGCTGAGAGCCGTTCGGATATGAGGACACAGAGGCTTCCAGTCTGAGGAAACAAGACCAGCTGAGAAGTTGGCCAGGTGAGGTTAGCTGTGGCTTGTTCTGTCTCTCTGACCTTCCAGTATTCACCCCAATAACTGGCCTCAGGTTTGATTTTATTAATAAGACTCTCTAAGATTCTTGCTACAGAACCAGGCCCTATATGGTAAGGATTTGGGAAAGTTTACACTACACATTTTAAATAGCTAGTTACTATGCTGAGAGTTTGGGCAGAAAAATGGACATTGTACAAGAATGAGCCAAGTACACTGACTGGAATCCTAAGGAGACAAGAGGAAATGCTGGAAACCAAAGGCCATGTGAGAGAGATGAAGACACCTTAGGTGGGTTCACTAGCAGACTGAAACCTGGGCTGAGAAAAAGACCTCAGTGGTAGCTTGCCTAGCATGTCTGAGGCCCAGGGTTCAATTTCCAGAACCCAAAGAAAGTGCAGTAGATTGAATACAGATGGGGGAATTAAACAACCTTGCCAACCTTGAAAATACACTATAGAAAATTTCCCAAGTGGGAATGCAAAGAGAAAAAAAGAATGAAAAACTGGAACAGAATATCTAAGAACTGTGAGAGAGCTGAGGCCACGGGCACAGTGGGAACAACCTTCAAGAATAAGAGAAAAGAGCAGAAGAAATATGTGCTGGCACATGACTATAATTTCCAGCAGTGGATAGGGGGTTCATTACTGAGCAAGAGGATCAGGAGCTCGGAGCTCAAGGCCAACCTGAACTAAACGGTGAGTTTGACAAGACGGGGCTACACAAAACCCTGTCTAAATGACAGCAGTGGACTGGAAAGTTCTGAGAAGACACAAGCGCTATGGTGTTTGAATAAAAATGGCCCCCACAGGCCCATAAGGAGTGGTACTATTAGGAGGTGTGGCCTTGTTTGAGTAGGCAGGGCTCTGCTGGAGGAAGTGTGTCGCTAGGAGGTGCATTTTGAGGTCTCAAATGCTCAAGCATGGCCAGGGTGTCACTGTCACTTCCTGCTGTCTGCAGATCCAGATGTAGAACTCTCACTTCCTTCTCCAGCACCATGTCTGTCTGCATGTCACCATGTCCCACCATGATGATAATGGGCTAAATCTCTGAAACTGTAAGGAAGCTCCAAATAAATGTTTACCTTTATGAGAGTTGCCATGGCCAGGCAGTGGTGCTACATGCCTTTAATCTCAACACTCAGAGGCAAAGCAGGCAGATTGTTCTGAGTTCAAGGCCAGCCTAGTCTACAGAGCTAGTTCCAGGACAGCCACCAGGGCTACACACACACACACACACACACACACACACACACACACACACACACACACACACACACACACACGATTTCAAAAAAAAAAAAAGTTGGCATGTCCATGATGTCTCTTCACATCAGCAGAAACCATAACTATGACAAGAGCACAGATGAGGAAGCTCAGCTGTGAAAGCCTACACCTCAGTAAATTGTATTCAGACTGCAGGAAACCCAAGAGAGCTACAAAGTCCGAGGTGAGCTCCTATTACCTGCACTTCAATGAGAATTCATAGGAACTCTGCACAACTGTTCATGCAAGGAGAGAGTGCAATGAGACATTTCTTGTTGAAAAGAAACCACCCTAGCCTAGAACTCTGCATTTAGCAAAAACTATCTACCAACTGCCAATGCTGATTTAAATGTAAAACACAAACCTATAAACTCCTAGGGGACAGGAGGAGAAAATCTAGGTGACTCTGGATTTGATTTTTTTTTTTTTGATACAACAAAAGCATGATCTGAAAGAAAAAGCTCTGTAAAAAAGGTTAGTAATGTTTTTATTTCCAAGGGTTTTTTTATAATAAAGTAAAAACAATGATTTAATCTTTTTAACTTTGCTATCTATATTGTGTATTCCTATAAAACATTCATTTTAGCCAGGTGGTGGTGGTGGCGCATGCCTTTAATCCCATCACTCGGGAGGCAGAGGCAGGCGGATCTCTGTGAGTTCAAGGCCAGCCTGGTCTACAGAGTGAGTTCCAGATTAGCCAGGACTGTTTCACTGAGAAACCCTGTCTCGAAAAAACAAAAAACAAAAACACTCATTTTAAAACAAAATACTTGAAATTTGAAGAAAGTTAACAAGAGAATAAAGCAAGCCCCCAAGTGAGGGAAAAAATACAAAATATGCCTAATAATGGAATTATATCCAAAATACAGACAAAGAATCCTTAATAACTCAGTTTTAAAAATAGATAAAATCAGGGACAGATAAGATGGCTCTGCAGTTAAAACCACCAGTTGCTCTTGCAGAGGACCTGGGTTTGATTCCCAGGGCCCACACAATGGCTCACAGCATCTTTACCTCTAGTTCCAGATCTGATGCCCTCCCTCTCCTGGCCTCCATGGACAATAGGCACACATGTGGTGCACATACATGCAGGCAGGCAGGCAAAACACTCACATAAAATAACATTTTTAAAAATGGATAAAGTTTCCCAAATAAAACCTCACCAACATATTAGCAAATGAGATGATCAGCATCTTCGGTGAATTATGAATTCAAAGCAGTGATACCACACACATATTCCAATGACTAACACGCAGAAGACAGGCATACTAAATGCTGACAATGATGAGAGAAACAGAACCTATTACATATTGCTGGTGGGATACAAAATGGTAAGGAGACTTTGGAAAACGACGGCTTCTTTCAAAACAATCTATGGTCTACCCAAATGTTGCACTAAGACTTTTCACCCAGATAACACTGAAACTGTGTGGCCACACACACACACACACACACACACACAAGAATGTTTCCTCCTACGCTT